CCATTTTAAGTAAAGTGTAGGCCCTAGGGGGGGGGGCGGCTAGTAGTAGTAGTAGTAGTAGTAGTAGTAGTAGTAGCAATAGTAGTAGTAGTAGTAGTAGCAGTAGTAGTAGTGGTAGTAGGAGTAGTAGTAATAGTAGTAGTAATCGTAGTAGTAATAGTAATAGTAGTAGTAGCAGCAGTAGTAGCAGTAGTAGGAGTAATAGCAGTAGTAGTAGTAGTAGTAGTAGGAGTAGGAGTAGTAGTAGTAGTAGTAGTAGTTGCAGCAGCAGTCGTAGCAGGAGGAGTAGCAGTAGCAGCAGCTGTTGCTGCTGGTGGTGGATGTCGTCTTCGTCGTCGTCATTGCAGCAATCGTAGCGGCGGTCGTAATTGTAGTCGCAGTGAGAGTCGTAGTAGCAAGCGTAGTAGTAATCGCAGTAGCACATAGAGGGAGAAATAACGGCAGTAAGCGCAGTCATTGTAGCCGCGCCACTACGCCCCCATAACTCGTTCTTCAACCATGCACCTTTACTTAGAGCTGCACTTCTACGGACAGTCGTATCCGATGCGCATGAAGCAAGCAGGCGTTTTGCAACATGAATCTGGATTCAAGATCGCAAGCCCATATGGGCTCTCAAAAAGTTGTATCTGTGTGACCTCACGGAATTCACGAACACAACAGGATTATGGGGGTCCCCGACGCAGATTGTGTAGCGCACTGTAAGCAGACGAAACAAGTCTTGTGTTTCACATTGCGTAGTTGGGGAAACATGCCTCAACACGAAACTCTTAACTCCTCAGCCCGACCTGAAAATCACCCTAACTCCGCAACTAAAACCCCCCAGATCCTAACCCTACGGGTCCAAGGACCCAAATAATTAATGAGGTTTTAGGGCCCAAAAATTACAATATTGATGGTATTTGGGCCCTAAAACCCTATTATTTGGGTCCTTGGACCCTTAGGGTAAACCTTGTAAGACTTTGGCCGTAAAAAGCTCTTGTCAAAGCCAACCGCGGGCCACACTGCCCTGGTGCTCCCGTGAGGTCAAAGCTCTCTCCCGCCCCGTTTACGGCTTGGGGTGTTTAGGGCCAGGGTTGGAGTCTAGGATTTTGGGTTTAGGGTTTAGGGTTTAGGGTTTAGGATGGTTTAGGGTTTGGGGTTTAGGATTTAGGGATTTGGGGAACGCATTCAAGAGCCATGGTCTGGAGAGCTTGAGGTGGAGAAACCATAGGCTCATAGGCAAAGCACCCCGTGCTGACCCAACTTAATCGCGAACAATTGAGCCTTCAATCTTCAATAGCTTCGGGGCTTGGACATTCTACCTCTTACTTCTCAAGTTGCTACATGGGTCGGTATAAGTCATTGTTGGCTCTTTAGTTTGCTGTTCAGGCATCGGAGGCCCCTGTAGAAACTATGTGGCATCATGGGGAAGCAAGTTGAGAGCAGCGTAGCCAGCGCTGCAATTGCGTTTAGGGTGTACTGAGGGGATTATCATTGCATGTTACCAGCTCCGACGAGGTTTTGGGCATAATTTCATGTTCTACGGGGTTGGGTTTGGAACTCGACTTGGCCGCATGTCTTCTTGATAGCCGACCTCAACTCCAAATTGCTAAAACCCAAAGCTCTAAGCCCATGACCACCAAAAGAGAAACACCCTATATAACCCCAATATATA